GACGATGGCGGCTATAATTTTACAGCGACGATATTGTCGTCGTTCGAACGTATACCAAATAAATCTAATCGATGAAAGTTTAAAACTGTTCTCCTAGAGCGCAGGAGCATAGAGCCAAGAGAAGATTTATATTTCTTAATTTATATTAGAAAAGACAAAAATAGTGACATCGATATCACGTGACTCTAAGAGGTTTTCTTGATATGTAGATTGCGATTATGATTAGAAGACCAATATCCATATATCAAGACCAATGATATATTCAACATTGAATTTGCATCGGACGCACGCATCGCGAGTCGTCGAGTTTTCGACAGCAATAGCAGCAGATCGCAGCCTACTCAGATTTGAGGGAGGCTAAAGGGCGGTTAAAGGATAGCAACGGAATGGGGGGAGGGGGTGTGGGAGGAGAGGCCGCCGATGGCGGTGGGTTAGGGTAAAACAATCACGCAGGGCTCATGCATGTTAATGCGTTGTTAGGGGCGCGTGAGAGAATCGGGGTTGCCTAGGATTGAATGCCCAATATCAGCGAACCGCCCTCGAAGCCCATACCGTTTTCCTCGATTCGCTCAGGAACCAATATCAATCTCGTCGTCTCTCTCGCCCGCGTGCATGCTATCACGCAAAAGCGCCCCGGTGATTGTAACTTCCCCGTTTGGTACAGCCCGCGCTTGTTCGTTACATTTTCATTTTATTTCTCCTCTCTCGCAGAGGAGAAAAAGAGAGAGAGAGGAGAGAGAGAGAGAGAGAAGGAGAGAGAGAGAGACGCTCGCTCGTAGAAATTATTTCTAAATGCAAATGATTGTTCCGCGTTGGTTGGAGCCAAGTAAGTCGTTGCACGTATGTATTAAAAAAAGACGCGTCAATGTCGCACGATTTCATTCTATCGGAATATGTTTCTCACGCGGAGATAGAGTTTGAATAAACTTTAGTTCCACCGCGCAAACTTCTAAAAAAAAAAAATAGAAAGAAATTCACATTATCGCGTTGTGAAAATTTGCATACGCGAATTTCTCGAGATTAACACTGAGAATCTTATCGAGTAAAATACGAAATAAATAGTTCGTTTTTGGGCTCCCGACGTACCCGAGAGCTTGTTACCGCTCTTCGGCTACTCACGGTGCAAGAACATATCGGCAAAGTGCCGCGAGTGGGGATCGGGTGGAGAGTTAAGGAAACTACATCAACTACCGAAGGCAGTTGATACGAAACTAGTTTCGCGGCCTAGGATACATGCGGAGACTACACAGAGCGCGGGGTCTAGGACAGGGAGATGGGGGGTTGACTGTTTGCCCTCCGAATGGAAGTTCTGGAGGTTGAGGGTGGCCGCTTCGTGAAGCGGAGTGGTACTTACCAAATCGACACGGGGCCAACTCAATACATCAAAGACCTTATACCCAACAGCCCTGGTTATATGGACTACTCGCCTAGCTACCGGCGATGTCCATACATAATCATGGACCGTCTTTGTCCCTCGAAATTGATTTATTATTCAAAGTGACGCGTGTTTCACAATGTGTATTTACCACGATACGGTTTCGGGACCCGACGAAACACGTCGGGCAACGTAGGCCACCTTTGTAGCCGTCTACACACATGTACGATAAGAGGTAATGTGGGTCTTGCTAGCCAACGTATACATATATTTCTCAATGATACAGGTCCCTCTTATGTAGAATATTGAGAAAAAGAATTTTCGCGCATCCGTACCTTCCTTCGATTTCTCCGAATTTCAAACCGGAAAACAGACATTCGAATAATTTCACTTTACTTCAGTTTACTTCAATCAAAAATAAAATACAAAATTTAATAATTTAATTATCATCTCCGTAATAATGAATATTATAAATCTTCTTGTGAATCATTTATAATACACAAATATCCGAATAATGTCTCTTAATATCTCGTATCTGTATAAAGAATCTTTTAATTTATAAAGAGTAATTTTTTTTAAATATATATAAGAAAAAAAGATATCACATTCACACGATATTAAGCTCGAGTGTACCACAAATCGCGTGTTCTTTGCGGCGGTAAGGAAAAGCGCTTGCTACTCCGGGAGCCAATGGAAATATTGACAGAAAACAGCCGTACGAAGTTAATTAAACTCGCCGAGCTGTGTTGCTCGGGTACCTTGGTCGCGCCGGCCGGCATACACTTGGAGTAGTAATTTCCTGATTGTGTGTGCGTGGATCAGGACGACCGAACCGAGTGGACAAACAGCACGAGTTTCCCCAGTGGTACGTGTTTCTAACCCGAAATTGTGTCTTTCAACGCTGTGTCCACACTGTACTTTCGCCGTACATCGCCGAGCCTTTGGCTGATTAATTCTCCTCTCCGTCGACGTCATCGTCGTCTTCGACCGATCGGATAAAAACTCTAGTTAATCTCTGTTTTAATTTGCCGTGCAATATTAAGACGGCGAAATTCAATAAGAATCAATCAAATTTAATTTACATAAGAATTGAACTTCTACCTTGTATTTTAAATAAACAGTAGACGAACAGTTTTCCATTTATTGTTTAAAAGAAGGAAATTTTTGGCAAAAATTAAACAATCTCAACAATTTTAATCCGATTGTGCTTAATGTATCACGGTGGATTTTAAATGGAATAAATTGAAAATTGAAATCGAAAGTGGAAGAAGAATTTTCAAGATAAGGGCTATAAATGACATTCTAGTCTTGACACTGGGCGAATTCCCCATACCATATTGCTGCATATCGACCGCCCTCTTCCTTGTCACGTCGCGTCGTGTGTCGTAGGATTTAAAGCATATCGTCGCCCGTGCACGAATATCTTGCAAAGTAACGCCACGTCATGCTCGCGCCTTTCTCGTTCAAGCTGCAAACGGTCCAGCATCGTCTCCAGATGTAGGTATATCCTCTTTCTCCTCCGCTCTCCCTGTCCGCTCCTTTTAGAGCCTTTCCTCTCGCGTTCCCCTTGCCTCTCTTTCTATCCGACGTGTGTGTTTGCCCTCTCCCAGGATCCCCGTCTCTCAGGCCGGCTCATAATCCTGAGATATGAGCGCGTATTACGTAGAATAGTAAGTCGCGAGAGGCTACTGGAAGATGCGCGCGGCCAACGGTGTGAACTCCAACACGTATAAACGTCGAGGAGAGAAGAGAAGGAAAGAGAAACACACATGTATGTATATTATATTCCTAGATATCCGCTTGAAGACTGTGCGGCAAGAAGGGTAGATTACCTGTGAAATCTAAATCAAGATCACGAATGTCTTTTGTATTTCGGAGTAACCGGATAACAACTTCGAGACCCGGTATACGTACATTAGCCGTGAGATTTACGGCGTAGTTTGTAGATAAAATCTCATGAAATATACATCGCGATTGACTCGTTGCAATAATTATCTTGACGCGTTATTAATTTCATGTAATAAGAAGACGATTTTTTTATTACAAGAGTCCAAGGTAAAAGATTGCTAGAGTGAATCGCTCGGCGGATAATATTGATATTAATGTACATTTATATGCCGTTTGTAAAGCGAGATTCTCTCTCCATTCAAGTTCCTTCATTCGATGAATATCTCGCGAAACCAAAGTCGATATTAGAAACGCGATGCCGCTTCCTCGTGCTCTTAGTCAACATTTGACTCTGTGTATGCGAGAAAACCCGGGGAGAGATAGAGTCAAAACGATAGGCAGAGATGGACGCGTCCGATAAGATGCTTAGGCCAGGAACCAGCCGGCTACCGTGCCGGACCACCCCAAGGGTCGCGAGCGGTGAGAATGGGCCGAAGAAAGAAAGAGAGAGCAAGAGAGCGGGCCTTCTCCTCTAGGATTTCATCCGGGAGTCTTTTCCCGGGATATCGCGTGTAACTGGAATTATCGCCGCACAATGGACGAAATCCCCATCCGCTTGCCTCTTCATCAACCGCAGCGATCTTGCCGCGAGAATGATTCAGAGCGAGAAAGAAAGGTAGAGAGAAAGAGGGCCGCTGTGTACCAATAAGAACAAGTAGAACAAGCGGCGGGACGTCGCGACGGCGCGGATTCACATTGTTATTGTTGTTCGGTCTGTGACGTCGACCATGGAGGCAACCAGCGACACAATGAGTCCCGTATCACGATGGATCAAAGATTGCGAGCGGGAGGAAATAAAAGAGAGAGAGAGAGAAGGACGAAAAAGAAACAGATAGAGAGGCGAGCAACCGCAAGAGGGTGGAACGAGTGTAGGATGAGCGAAGCGAGGGTGGCGGGACGTGTCATAACTCATAACTCATAAGCTGAGAAACCCCATCCTCCCTAAATCTTTGCGAAACACACTGGCTTTGACGTTTAGCCCGAGCGAGGAACCGTTGTTACATTATGCAGCAGCGGCAGCGTCTTTCGCGGAGAGAAAATTCAGGAGAGAGAAAGAGAGTACGAGGTAGAGAGAGGGAGGGGGAGGTGAAAAGGGGGGAGGGGGACGTGGAGGAAGAAAAGGATGAGATGCCGGACGGATAAATCCTTTTTCGTCGGACGCGAACAATAAAGCCGTGTGCACGGTGGCAAAAATGGAGGGGGCGGCAAGAGGACCCCGATGCCGACTGAATTAGATCGCCGTATCGCCGTCCCATTCACGACGTAACCCGCGGTGCGGCCACGCGCGGATACGATATCATTTCTCGCAGGTGTGTTCCCGGTATTCCACCGAGTCGGTCCGTTCGCGAACGAGAGGGATTTTGTACGGCCTGATGCGATTAGGAAGGGACCGAGGGATTCTTTTCGAGAGCGCGATATCTTTCTTTTTCCTCTTTTCTCCTTTTTTTTAAATTTGCCTGCACAGCGGGATACCATTGTACGAGACTCGATTCTTTCGCAAGAGCGACGTCAGCTCGTCGGACTGGATATCCAACCTCTTGCCAAGAATTCATTAAATGCGCATTCTGTTGAAAACGAACATTGGCATTCGCTCCTCTAATATATATTATATGATTTTAATACGAGCAATTTCCTCTTGTGCCTTCTTAAAGACAAAAATATACTTTCTCATTTACAGGAGCCATCGGGGAAGAGGACCAAGGTGAGGAGAACGCGAGAACGAGAGAAAAATGATCGACGAGACGAAGAAAAAGAAGAGAGGTAAGTCGTGCATGATACGATTACATGACGCAGTCGGCTCCGGAGAGCTCGGAGCATAATATTCCGAGAGGCCGCGTCTTCTCTTGCGGCGTTCGCCGCAAGCCCCCTCCCGGTTTGACCCGCGGGCCCGCCGGGTTAGATTCCTACGCGGTGCCCTCGCGTACACAATGCGAGTTATTGCGCAGCGTCCGCGGGTTCGCCGCCGGCGCCGGCGGCCGACTTGGTCGCATAAATCCTACCGAGAGTCGCGATCTCGTACGAGGCTTGCCGGGCCTCGAGTCGTGCCTCCCTGCCCCCCACGTCCCGGTCTCTCCCTTGCAGGTACATTCGCGTATTGATTCCTTGCAATAGCGAATACTTGATTAATCCTTCCGGGAACGAAAGCTTTGTCCGAAGGGAAAAGTCCTTTCGTTTCGAAAGACATCGAATTTGCGGTGGATATTTTAATTAGATATCCGCAGAGGAGAAAAGAAATGTGTCTCTGTGTTTCGAAGAGATTAATTTTTTTGCGAGAAGAATCTGTAGCGTAGAGACGTTGCTCGTGATTTCTTGACAGAATATACATACACCGCCGCGGTTAAATGTATAGCGGCTTGACGATCCATTAACCGTAACCGATGAATGTCTGTTAATTAAGGCTATTTATATCGGTGAAATCGGGGGGTGAGGGGGAGCGAAACGAATCTATCTCTATCCCACGTTCCGACCGCAACCGCTCTATTCCTCACCCTCACCTCATCGTGCCGCGCAACCGCCTAAGGGCGGAAACTGGAAAGTTGCCATATTGGCGCGGACGAGGGCGCACGGAAGGAGGATCCGACAGAAGGAAAAAAAAACGCGAGATTATCTCCCGGTTTCCCGCACCGCGGGATGAGAAGAGTCTACGCGCGGGGTCGCGAGCATCGCGCGATTATCTTATAAAAATTCACACGGGTCGCGAGGTACCCCCCTGTCTGCGTGTTACTATGGAAACTAGAGTTCTTTCGTTCGTGCTGACATGGTTCTCGCAGGAATAGAAGAGAAGCTTCGGAAAGCTGCGCGCTTACCGAGGCTCCTTCGTGAAGAAGAAAAAAAAAAGAGCTGATATCCTACGTTGGATATCCGCGAAAATTTCCTTCAGCTCTTTCTCTTTGTGTAATTTACGTCAAATGGAATCGGAAGAAGATTTGCTGTTATATCCGGATGAGATCCTGTTTTGAAATGTCTTCCAAGTATAATTATCGATATAATTCATCTTGACTATTCGTATCGATTCACCCAGGTTACGTAGGCTGTAAAAATTTGCTACTCGTTCATCTGTTCTACGGTGAAACTCGTGCCATGAGATACGATCTTTTCTTCCCCTCTCATCTCACGGATATCATAATCTGACCTTCTCGCCGCGCGGCCCTATGCTAGTCGGAAATCGTATTCGAATGGTTCTCGAGTGAGACGCATCGAAGGTGGAGCCGTTCGGGGGAGGTAAGTCGGAGGAAACGCTCGAAGAGGTAAAGGCCAAGTGGCGAAATCGTGGAAGGGGATTGCTAGGGAAAGAAGGACGCAAGGGCAAGTCTCACTGGCAGATAATATACTTCACGAAGTACGCTCGTCAAACACAAGCGCGAGCAAGCGGAGCCCGGATATATTAGAGGATGCATCTCCATAAAAGTTGGAGCCGAGCAGCGAGTCAACATCCCCTCGCGCATAAAGAAGAGAGAGAGAGAGAAAGAGAGGGAGAGGCAGACCTGGCCGAGAAAGAACGAGAGAAGTAAGAGACGGGGCTCGCTTCTTTTTCCGACTCAAAAGACTCCGCGGAGGGATGGCGAGGAAGCGTCTTGCGGCAGCAATCACCGATATTGAGGGTTTCATTTCGTCCCTACGACGGTAAGAGCCTAGAAGAGGCAGAGGGTGGTATAGTTTGTAGGAAGCGGTGAGTGGTAGGGAGGTAGGGGGAGGGGCATGACTCTCGAATCAGGGATTCCAAGCTGGTCCAGAAGAGTACGTGCTACCGGATGCACGGAACTATCTCTGTAGCTTTATCCTTCGCCGACTACATTGCGGAATTTGGTTGAGAAAGAGATAAAGGGAAAATTTTTCAGGGAAATTGTTGGTTTCAAAATATACCCGCAGAAAAAGTCATAAATATAGTTTATTAAATAAATTTCAACATTTTCTTGTACATGTCGCGGCACAATGTTTAAAATTGTTCTTAACTCTTCTCCTTTCGCGTTAAAATTTGCTTAGATTAAAGATTACAAAACTTCAAACACATGTTATCTGCAGACAATTTATTGGATAGTTTGCTCTAATTAAAAGTTAATCCAATGGTTCTTCCGTTTGTATCCTATTGGCCTTAAAAATTGATCAGATCGTTTAAAGATATTAGGATTATCTGCAAATAATTAGTAACCCGACATTAGGCAAACCTTTTTCGTCACAAAGTTGTTTCTTATCTTGTTTGGTCCATTTTTTTTGTCAAATGACAGAATTCTGTTCCGCTATTTCGAAACGAAGCGCAAATCTTCTTGAAATCGACAGATATAAACAAACGATAAGTTTATAAAGACTTTAGATTTGCTAAAGATTCAAACTTGCAAAATACGTTGATAAAACTCGAAATAAACAACAGCGTTGGTCGAACATATTTCTAAAGCTTTGAGAGTTTTCGCAACATTCCTAAATTAATTAGATAAACGGAATGACACGATTAATCGAGACTGAAAACCAAGACTTTCTAAATGACTATGTTTTTATTTTTGAGCGAATAAAATAAAACTAAAAAATAAAATTAAAATTAAAATTAAAAATATCTGTATATATAAATATATACAGATATTTTTAATTTTTAATTTTAATTTTATTTTTTTTTAATTCGAAAATATTTTTCAATAATAACATTCAACATTTGACTCGATCGAGGAAGCTTAGAAAAGAGCATCCGATTGAATTTTATCTGATAATTAAATACATCAGCGGCGCAAGGGGCGTGAGGAGGGCAAGAAGGGCTTAAGAGAGAAGCGAGCGCGGAACAGAGGCCCGTTCGGGCAAAGTTAATCCCGAGGTAAGGAGTGTTTGGTCCTGCAAAAGAGATTAACGTACTCTCGTCGCGACAGGACGATAGTTTCTATCTTCCGCCCCCTCCGCCCCCTCGCCCTTTCTCCTCGGCACGGCAAATCACCGGGTTCCTTCGGTCGCGCAAGACCAGCTTCGCACTTCGCGCGCACAGCCAGTGCTCCCTTAATCCGTATTCATCAGCAGTTATAGGCATCCACCGGGCGTAGGGTAAGAGGCTAATCCGGCTGATCCGCGCTCAGCTGTGAGAACGTTCGCCGCCACGCTTCTGGGTCATCTTCGAGAGACGTCTGTGCAGCTTTCCAAAGTAGCGAGTCGAACCGACCGGCGCGAATCTCAATCGATCTCGGTAAAAATTCTCCCTCCGACAAACATGTCTTACGTATGAAAAAAAATAAAAAATCTGGACGCGAAAAATTTGTGTAAAATTAATTTCAATATATATCGTAAGATGTGCGCGAAATAAGGCATTCATTCCGAGGAAGATCAACGAGATCTTTGAAAATCATTCGCGCGAAAGCGCGATACGGACGCGGCTTGAAAGTTCGAGGGAAAGATAAACCGGATGCGTTGGTAGACAACGTCGAATGGCAGATGGTTTCGCGCGCGGGTGTGCGTTTCCCTCTGGATATTTGTATCCGTGCGAGAGAGGACGTCGCGACGCGTGCGAGACGAAATAGAGAGAAAGAGAGAGAGAGAGAGAGAGGCGTCGTGCCGATAAATCAAATTGACTGGTGCGACGTCGGGTGCAGCCAGAGTCCGAGCCCTTCCTCTCCTTTCCCCTTCCGTTCCCCCGAACAGAACGGCGACCGTCCATATACAACGTGTCCAATCGCAAATCCCTTTAATTCGTTCCTTGCAGTATAAGTTTAATCCGAATTAAACTGCACGGGACGGCACATAAATTCGACCCTTGGCCGAGCATTAAAAGGAACGGCGCTCTCCGACGTGATCAGCTCTCTCTGCATCAAGTACCTCGAGTATCACCGACGGGCCATGAAATCGCATCGTTTCGCATCGTACAGTTATTACGTGCGATATCGTGATTTTCGTCGCAGTGTACATTAGAACAGATCTGAGACCACGCTGTGAAAAAGTCGCAGCGCGTCGCCAGGAATGTTGCTCCAATTTTCTCATTTATGAAATACAGAAGATTTCGATAGAATTAATTTTTATATAGAAATTGAGCTTTCCCATTTTACGCTTTTCCCTCTAAATATATAAACGAACAATCTCTCACTTGTCGGAGATTTAAAAGAAGAGCTTTTGGCAAAATTCAATAGGTTCGAAAAAGAACCGACTGTATAAAGTATCAAAATAAATGTTGGATTAAAAATTAAAATGAAAAATACGAGAAAATTTTCAACTGGAATATTACTGCGGTATCGAAAATATCGATAAAAATATGCCATTGTGTAATACATTATGTATATCTGCGAAAAAATCACGGGGATAAGCGATTTTCATTCATGCCTCGATAATTTATTCATTTCTTGGAAGCTCGGAGAACAAGGGGTCAACAAATTTCGTAAACGCGTAAATTTCGACGAATTGCGAAACTGCGCTTTCATTGACGGAACGTCGACAAAGTTCCAAGAAATCTGCTGACGTTCTTGAAAACGATCAAGTTGCGTTACACAGGAAGTACAAGTTTCTGCATTAGTACACGAGGCCCCGGATCCAGGAAACAGGAAACGGCTTGCGAAACGTTGTCAGTATTTGAATTTCGGTGTAGTAAGCACACGCATTAGTTGGAAACGTTTCCCCTATCGACATATGTCGAAAATCAGACGCGTCGATAAATTCTTCAGGCATTGTCGTATGTAGAAATTATTACTAATTAATTATAATTTGCAACAGCTGATTATTACATTTAAAAAAAGGAATAAAGACCATCATCCTAAAACAACTTAATGGCTGCGTGTCTTCGACGACAACGCGTG